TATCATTCTTTTTAAATTTTATTTATTATTTTTATTTTATGTGTATGAGTGTATTGCCTGCATGTATGTGAGTGCACCCATGTCATGCAATGCCAGCGGAGGTCAGAAGAGGGCTTTGGATTCCCCTGGAACTGGAGTTAAGGACAGTTCAAAGCCACCGTGTGGGTGCTGGGAATTGAACCCAGGTCTTCTGCAAGAGCAGTCAGTGCTCTTAGCTGCTGAGCCATCTCTCCAGCCCCCATGACTTTTAATTTTTATAAAATACTATTGCTATGTGGAGGGGGAAGGCTTATAAGTCCTCACCCCTAACTGAGGAGCTATTGACAGTTGATGGCTACTGGGGAATGGAGTGTCAGTTTCCTTTAAGAGTGTGGCCTCTGGTAGGTCGATCATGCTCCAGTGAATCAATGAATGCCCCCCCACCCATTAGTGAATGGGCAGTACAAATAGGACTCAGTGGGTTATAACAAAAAGAGGACATGAAGTCGGGAGGAGAGTGAGGACTGGGGTATTTTAGATCTGGGGGGACTTAGGGGAAGGGTGGGGGTGAATATGATCAAAATACATTATGTGCATGTATGAAATTCTCAAAGAATAAAAAATTATATTTAAAAATGCCATTGCTGTTATGCTTATTGACATTTATGTAGAGGTGACTGACAATTAAAATGAACTAAAAGCCATTATATCTAAATTACTTATATATAATTTCTCAGATAATTCCTTCTGTGTACTGACAGAATAAATATTAATCTAATTATGAGATTGTCATATTTATGTAAATTTTAAAGCTCTCCAGAAACAGTGCCCATCATTTGAACAACTTTCTCCTTTTTAATTTCTGACAAATAAGTGTTAGAAAAGTTGAACACCCGAATTAATGAGTATCCGTTCTAAAGATGCTGCTCAAAGAGTTAAAGGTTCAGCAAAAGCAACTTTCAGTCTGTTTGCTCTGAGTTCAGAAATAAAGAACAGCTCCGTTGGAATTCGTTACTTCTCAAATACTCAAATATGAACTGAATTGTACTTGTCCCTCAAGTTGTGTATCATACAACTTAAATTCCACTCTTAGTAAAAGTTCTTTTTAGACAACAATAGAAGGCTAAGTTTCTATAACACATACTTTCTGTTTGACAACCTTGACATCGTCAATAATTCCTATGAAGAAATATTTTATTTTAGAGTGCAGGAACACAATACTCTGGAAGAATTTGCCACAGGCCATTCATCTTATGTTAATTTTGCCTTACGGTCTCACATTTCTCCCTTGTTCTACTAGATTGAAAACAATCGTTTGACACTTAGTTGGGTCTCTTTAGCTTTCTGTTCCCAGCAAAGAAAAACACTTTCATTTATGGCATACTTCAGACAACACAAGATAATACAGTTACAAAAATAGCAAATGATCATTATGGTTAGGTTTATCTCAAATGTAATCAAGTTATCAGGCTGTTTTTGGAGCCTGTAATTGTTTTTCTAAACACATTTTCTAAGATGTCATTTTACTGAGTGCTAAAAAATAAATGAGTATTTTTTTTTTGCCACAAATAAATGTACCTTTGAAGGATTGCTGTGGATGGAGAAGTTCATATTGCCCTTGATCCCTAACAAGCACCATCACTATCTGCAGTTTCTTTTTTAGTGTTGTCTCAGTGAACAATCAGATGTGATAGAGCTTAAACGTCATGATTAAAAAAACAGAAGTAAAAAGAATGAAAAAAAAAGTATCAAAGTTAAAAACAAAAGTAAAAAACTCACCACCAAGTAAGTAAACCTGGCTTCAAGAACAACAAAAATCCATGAGAGCTATACACTTTCTTCCCTGTGTTGAGACCTATAATTTTATTGAAAACACTATAGAACCCATGTATTGACATCAATGTAATATATTCTTTACTTCTTCCTGTTTGCTTTACCACTTCCTATGCAACAAAATTAGAGTTGAAGTCTCATCCTTCAAACTACACCATTAAGATTTCATTGGTAGACATGTGCACAAGTTAGTGCTTCTCGAGTGGTGAGTGTTCGTTAGGGATTATCTTCTGGCTGCACTTCTCTGAACTCAAGTTGAGCCCACAGTCCTGACAACCACTGGATGTGCTGTTTACATTTTCTTGCTCTTGCTAATTGCTGGACATTTCATATTTGCACCATGTATCTAGGCTAATTCAGGCTGAGGGGATTGATGCCACCTATGGATCATGAGCTGAATGCAGAAATATTTCAGGTTTGCCATTGCTGTCCTTTGGATGAATAGAATACTTGGGAAATATATAGAGAGAGGAAAATAAAAAATTGATAAGCTCCTAGGTTTGGAAACGGTTGTTGGAAATTATGAAAATGGAAGTTCTGCTCAGAAGACACGAGCATAGAAAAGCATGGAATGGCTACAGCTCAAATTTTCCCTTAAATGATAGAAATGGAAGTAAACATTTACCACCTTTTGGTCAAGTGTAGCATAACTTGCATTCATATTTAACTGTTAGTAATGGAGGTATGTGGAGATATACACAGACCTTAAGACAGCTGTTTTGTAGTATTGCATACAGGCTAGCAGTTCATTGGAGACAGAGTTAGAGATAAGCCTGAAGGTTAGATCTTAGAAGAAGGCAGTTCTTCATGCACAGCTTTTGTCAATCCTGATTTGCATTGAAAATAAAAACCATGGAATACCAAAATCAAAGGAGGGAAAAGGAGTCATCCCAGAAAGGGTGATGTCACTGGCCAGGACAAGGTCAGGCAAGGTTCCATGTCCTCACTCAAGTCCAAAGGTGCTGGTTTCTTCCACTGCTGTTACCAGCTTTTCATACAACATGGAGTATGAGGGATATGGTGGGAGATCCAGTCGGTTGAAGCATGTGTGTGCCCTGAATGGGGAGAAAATATTGGTCAGGGTGTTTGAAAGTCACAACTCGTTCTGGATAAGTCCATGACTTCAAAAGGAAATCAAAAGTGAGTGAGATTTAGGTCAATCACAAAATACTGCAGACAAACCAAGGCCATTCAGACATGACCGTTTTAGGAAATGGAAGAACCAGAAATGGGTACTTGTTATTTGTACGAAAGCTATACTACACCATAACTACAGTAGCAAACCAATGGTCAACTCTATGCTAACAGCCTGATTTGGAATAGAGAAATGAACTCAGACATGAAGGAGGCAGAAATAACATTACTACTAAAGGATCATATCCTAAGTAACCTTGCCTAGCTCTGATTTCTGGGTCTTGGTAAGCCATAATAATGCTTAGAATTCTTAAATCCAGTTCTGCAAGTCAGATGTGCCTGCCCTGTAGACAAGTTTGAACCCCCTGCCCCAGTAGAATACATATCACCTGAAGCTCAAGTGCCCCACTTCCAAGAACATCTGAGCTTGTGAGATAGTGCTCGTCTCAGCCTGGGCATCTTCACCCTGTCTTAGGCTCTGCTTGTGAGACAGTCTTCCTCTCCTCCCCAGCCTGGGCATCTTCACTCTACTGCTCTAGATAATGCCTTACTCAGCCTGGGCTTCATCCTTCAGGCCCATGATTGCCAGTTTCTGCCTTAGACCAGAAATGTCTTCCCTGACAGATAACACTTGGTTTAGGAAATACCTATGTGGATCTCCAGCACAGAGTGGACGAGGCATGAAGCACCAGAGTCGCTATTTCCCACCAGTTCTTTGTTTCTGTGAAACCTGATGATAAAGCAGGGGGAAAGGTTCAGGGGTACAGCTACAAGTTAATTTTATGCCTTTCTTTCCCTAGGTAGGGTGAGTGGTATGTTTCCAGCTGTATTTAGACATCAACCAGCACAAAAGAAGATGCAAATACAGCAAAATAAAACAAAATCATAAAACAAACAAAACTAAACTTTCTTCATTAGAATTTTATTGGGGACATGAAATTTTCATTTAATTACAAGAACTTTTGGGAAAATTGTATATTGTTTACACATTTGTTTTGAATTATATAAATTAGAGTAACAAACACTGTGCACTCAGGATAGTCTAGATTATATGGAGGATAAGGAGAGGAATGAGATGGAGGGAAGGTGGGGTTTTCTGTTTGGGGAGAGTCGGGAGAGGATGTTGACGTTTCTACCCAATATTCACTCCTACTCTTGGCTACAGCTCCCTCCTTATCATGATAGTTCCTGCCTGTCTCCTCTCCTACCAAGCTCTAGGACCTGCACAAGACAGCAGCATATCTGATCTTAGGCCCTAAGGACTTAACTGGGGCAAATATGAAAACAGATGTTGGCAGTGTTCTGTGATCATTGCTAAAGCATCAAACAGGCCCAGGTTACTTCAAAACAAAAGAGCAGAAATATTTTACCTAATACCAGAATATTTGATTGAAAGTAAAAGCAAAGTCAGTGAATTGAGGGCAACAATGACTACAGTGATTTTTTTTTTTTGACATTTAGAAAGACTGAAACTAGTACATATACTGGATTTTGGATGTTGGCTGAAGTAGTTAAGAAGAACATGGGCTGGAGAGAACTCAGTGGTAAAGAGCACTGGCTGCTCTTACAGAGAACCTGAGTTCTATTCCTAGTACCCACATGACGGCTAACAACCATCCATAACTCCAGTTCCAGGGGATCCGAAGACCTCTTCTGACTTCTGCGGGCATTGCATGACATGAGTGCACCTACCTACACACTCATACACATTTAAAAAAAAAAAAAAAAGAAATGCAGAAAAATCCCAAGTGCGTAGAGCTAGGTGAGCTAGTCAGCAGTGAGATGTAAGAACACGTCTAGATTTCCTTCCTCTGGCCATTTTAATGACTCTTGTGAGTAGAAATAGAGAAATGAAATCTCATTTATAAAGTAAATGGAACCAAATTAATTCTGAGGAAGATAATTTAAGAAATAAACAGTATTAGCAAAAAGCACTTATTCTGAATGCTCAATTACTTTACAAGTTGCTTCTACTGCATTTATTAATAGCTTTGGTTAGCTCCCCTAGATAAGTTCAAGTTTGGCATGAAGAATGAATGCAGTTTATGAGTAACTCATAATTGGTTTCAGTGTTCTTGAATGCTTTTCACACTTTAGGTCTGGCTCCTATAGCTCTGGATCTGTCACTGCTTGTGCATTGGACCACACTTAGCTGGGCAGGTGCTGGGTAGTGGGGCAAGCAGGGAACTAGGGCTTGGAAGACCCCTATCCTTATCCCAGGCTAGCCACTTGCTAATTTTATGACCTTGGGAAGGTCAGCTACTCTTTTTGATTCTCAATTTTCTCATTTGTGAACTGGGACTAATAATGCACTGTGTGTACTTCAAAGACAGAACACATGTAAGTGCCTTTCACAGACTGTGCATTATTTTAACGTAAGAGTCTCTTTAAAAAGTAACTATGATTGTGATAATGATTTTAGGAATTGTGTCATACTTATGGTGATGGAAGATCTTATCCCTTTTCACATGATCTACTGGCAAGTGAATCACCTGTACCTCATACTTGACAACTGGAAACTACACAGGATATTTTCACTCATACCACACCAAATTCTACTTTGTTGAAGTGAACTTTAAGCTTCAGAACTTTGAGATGGTATTGGATTTGGGTCATGCCAGTCAGTTCATTGTTTACCCCTATAATTTGTATCATCTAGCAGCTGATATCTATGAATCCTTGAAGTTTCCCAAGTTTTTGATCAAAAGCACAGTGCCTGAAGAAAGAATGCTCCTGCTCTCTGTAGACCACATTAAAGTTGCTTAAAAATAAACATACTGACCAAGACAGTTGTGAAGCCATGTATGCAATTTATACCTTCCCTTCATACAGTCACCTCCACTGCCTGACAATCCAAATGGGCATTGTCCTGCTCCCTGCTGAATCACTGCTTCTTCATGTTTGTCAATTACCTCTTGACCTGCAAATGGAGAAGCCTGTGTTCTATCCTCACCTGCTCAAGATCCTGAAAAGCACTTGACAACTTTTCCTCTTGAACATCTCTCTCCCCTTATCTTCCTTTGGGTTTCCCAATGGCTTCCATTTTCTCTCTTGTGCTTCACAATGGCTTCCTTGAGTCATCAGTCCTCTTCTGATAATGATTTGAAGAACTGTGTCATTACTAGAACCTAGAGAGCAAGGTTCCTTCCCTCAGCACTAAAGTGATTTTGAATTAGATAATTATTTGTTGTGGAGGCTGACCTGTACACTATAAGATGCTCACACAACCAAAAATAACTCCAGACATTGTTAAATGTTCTGTGGAAAGAATAAAATCACCCTTTCTAGTAGCTCATTAAAAACCACTGCTACAGAATAAGCTTATCACTAACAAAATCAGGCCTCCAACTCTGTCCTGGGCCTACATTCAGTTTCTATCTAAAGCAAAGCATTTTCAAATTAGAATTTTGTTTGCCACTTTTGGGCCAGTCCCACGACTCATAGCTCTGATATCGTTGGTTCCTTCTATGAACATGAATGCATCCTCCCCTGTGCTATTTCCACGGTACGTGGTACTGCATCTGGTATGACAATGTCTGTGCTCCTCTTTCTTTGCAGAGTCTTCCTCTGACCTTTCTGTTTTATGCTCAAAGCCAGGAAATTCTCTCATCTCCATGTTTCAGTGTCCATTCTAGAATTCTTGCAAGGAAACGCTGCTTGATGGTTCACATTTAGTAACATGGACAAGCTTTCTCACTCTCCACTGTCAATTCTATATTATTATTTTGCAATACATGGTCAAAAATTTCATATCATTTATAGTATTTAATCGATGGATTCTGTCTAGCATCTTATTTTAATGGAATATGTAGAGCACAGTATACTATGTACTGTAGGGAATAATGATAAAATCTGATATTAAGGAATTTTCACATATACACAGATACATGCAAATGAGTACGCATGCAGGCATATATGCATGTGGTAATATAGAGGATATGTCATTCTGTGTTTTATGGTTGAAAAAGTTTGAAAATCAGTGATCTAGACAGATCTTCTGTTCCTTCTGATCCTCTGAACTTGAAATTAATTGCATTTATTAAATACTCTAAGGGATGGGGCTTAGTGGCTAACAGCACTTGTTGTGCAAACATAAGGATATAAGTTTGAATCCCCAGCACCCACAAAAAGGTCAGGCATGGCTACACATGCCTGTAACTGCAGCGCTGTGGGGCACAGATCAGTGGATCCCAGGAGCTCATTGGCTAGCCAGCCTAGTGGAAATGGCAAGCTTTAGGCTCAGTGTGAGACCCTGTCTCAAGGGAATAAGGTGGAGAGTAATAGAAGAGGATATCTTATCTCCTCACTGGCACATAGGAGCATGTACCCCAACACCAACACAAGCCACATAGAACATGCACACACACACCCCTGTCCCCCCACCCCCAGTCTGGCATTTAAGTAACATCTTCCTTTTAAAGTAATTCTGCCAGGTCATAGTAGCCAAGTTCATGTGGAAGACCAGTTTAACATCCCAGTCTTCCTGCTCTACGACCTCCAACCCAGTGACCATAAACACTCACCTATAGTAATGTATGAAGTTTCTACACCAGGCACTGTACAATTCTATCCTAGAAGATACTATGTTCAATGCCATTGAACATGCTTTTTCAAAGGCAATTACTTGGATTGCTTTAAAGATTTTCATTCAGTCTGGGTTATTGTTTTTTGATTTTGTGACTCTGCTTGGAGCTATCATCTCGGAAATCACTTGTCTTTTACTCCCTCTCCTCCTCTTCCTTCTCTCCTCCTCCTCCTCCTCCTCCTCCTCCTTTTCCTCCTCCTCCTCTCTCTTCCTCTTTTTTCTTTTCTTCTGACATGGTCTCATTAAGTAGCTCAGACTAAACTGGAAACCGTTACATAGCCCAGGCTGGACTGAAACTTGTGATCCTTCTGTCTCAGCTTCCTGAGTGCTAGGACT